CGAAGAGTGCGTAGGAGGTGTATGAGTGAAAGAGAACCACTGCTGCTACTGGGGGCTGCTGCTGCTGCTGCCTCCACGTATAAGTTGCTATCTTGAGGCCCTGGCTGTTCTCAAAGCTATCGGCACTGAAGCCCGGGCCCAAGTCCTCGATCGTCATATGCGGGAAAGCCTTCAGCCAGCCCCCCATGTCTACGTGGCACTGGTTGCTGGAGGTTCTGTTGAGTTTGCGGCTGCGCGGCCTATCGTACGGCATGCGAGCTGCTGCACCTCCCCAGGAATCTTCAGCTACGCAAACCTGTGTATTGGTTTTTCCAGTTGCTGCTGTCACTGCTGCAGCAGCACCAGCTGCTCCTGCTGCTGCTGCTGCTGCTGCTTCCGGTGATGCTGCGGTAGGCAAGGGACCACCAGCTGGCTCGCCACTGAGGCCAGAAGCCAACACAAGAGAGGGGTCCAGCTCGATCAACATGGGGCCTGGGGGGTCATTTTCTTTTGGACTTGTTTGGGGCGCCGGAGGCCCGGAGGGAGGGGAATTCAATACCGGCGCCATCGGTGGAAACAGTGCGAGATTAAATGGCCTCCTCGGCCTTTTCTAGTCGTCTTCTTTAAGTTTTCATGAGAAATTTAGAAAAATAAAACGAAAAATATTCACAAATTACCGCTGGTTCACCGCAGTGGCAGCAGCCGACCAGCATCCATACACGCCCACTAGGCGCTGAAGCGCGGCCAGGCTTGAACGCCTCGATCGAAGCTGAACAGAGAACAGCTGTGCGGAAACTTGAAATTAAATAAAATATTTTTGTTGTTTTCTGGTTTTTTCATTTATTTCTTTTATTAGAAACCCCTCGTAAACAAATTAGACAACACATAGTGGCCCGTTCTCGCCAGCTTTCTCCCGTCTGATATGTGTACTATGTGTAGCTGCTGTGCGTACACGGGTATACACGCGCGCATGGCTCGACATACAAATTCAGGAATTCTCTGAACCACCTCAAAAAAACTACAAGTAGCGA